ATCCTTCCAAACTTGCTGTTTGCAGAGATTTATGACTAGACCCTATCTGATGCCCCACACATTCCACAAATATCAGTTACAGGAGATTGGAATATTGTGAAAAAATTGAAAAAACTGAACATGTAACACAGTAGTATAGGCCAATTTTTTTTTTTTTTTATCTCTCTTACACACTCAATAGGGCAAATACAACACAATTTTAAACCAGCTGTCTCAATGGCACTTCAGTAAGACCAGAAATTAAATGTATGCATTTATCATATAGGATTTTATCCTGAAAGTGCCCAGACCTGGGACTTTGAGAAGTCCTCCCTGCAGAGGCAGGTGAACAAAACTGTAATTTGACAAGACCAGCATTGAGATCTGAGAAGCTTGACCAGAGGAAAAGAGAAAAAGCTCCAAAATGGGACATGTGCAACATCCAGAGAAAGTGAGCAGCAATTCCAGTCAGGAGCCCTGTTTGGAATGGGAGGCTGTTTACAACAGGACAGCCTTGGTGATTTCAGACCCCATTCCTGAGTCAGCACAGCCTAGAGCCCGTGCCTGGAGAGGAGTCCCACACAAATTAAGGGGTAAAACAAAGCTGTGGATAAGTTTTGGTCCCCAAATGCTCCTCTACAGACAAAAGGGCTGTGCCCAGAACATGGCTCAGAGCCACTCAGATCAGAAACTTGAGATGTGCTTCTGCTCTCTGAACAGCAGCTTCAGTGAGCCACCAAGAGATCTCTGAATCACAGAATCACAAGGTTGGAAAAGACCTTCAAGATCATCAAGTCCAACCTGTTCCCTGACATCTCAGCTCTCTGGGGCTGCTTAAACACGAAGGCAGGGAGTGGAAACAGGCACAGACTCACAGATCTGCAGTACCCCAAGGGAAAGCTCCCCTTCTCATAAGTGCATCCCTAAAAGCTACTCAAGAAAACTCAGACACTTGTACCACCACTGCACAGTCTCCAAACAAAGTGCTACAAGTGCTGTTACCCAAGGGTGAGGTTACTTACACAAAGCCACCTTCCACACTGTAGCCTGTGTACTTTTGAGTGTACTCCTGACGGGTAGGAGCACATAACAACTACAGGCACTTCCTTTAGCCTTGTATTGCCTTCAGCAACTCTCCAGGAACTAAAAGTAAAATAAAGACACTAAAGGCACTAAAATACAATGACAAGAAAATGACAAAAAGCACTATGTGTTTAGGCATGGGGTTAGTAAAGATTCCTTTTTTAAGGAGTTTCTGAGTGGCTTCCCCTCCTCTTTCCAGGTGAGCCCTGCCTTTGCAGCTCCAGTCTGTGTAGTTTTAGGAGGAGACATAACACTGTAATGTTAAGAACATGCACTGATGAGGCTGGGAAAGTTCAAAAAACTACATTTGCAGACTACCTTCTTCTGAAGGATGGCAGCCCAGCTCCTGGGACATAAAGAGAAGCTCTGGAATTCCATCAGGAAGGAAAATGGTGCTACATAAGAGACATTACAGCTGCTGAAAGGGCAGCTAATGCAGCAAGTCAGCAACAGCCTCCCCAGATTGACAGTGGTGGTGGCCAGCTGAGCAGAGGTCATGAGAGAAAACCAGATCTATTTGTTCAGAGAAACTGGCACAAAATAATATTCCTCCCAGAGAACAGGCTGAAATCAAGTCTTCCATAACAATAATTAACTCTAATAGGGTTCGCAGCAGTGAGAAATACTGAAGAAAAGAATTTTAAAAATAAGTATTCATCAATGGCAGTTATAAGGGACACCTGCAAAGCCAGCTGAGCCACTGTCACTTTTTCCCTGGCAGGTGAGGAACCTGCAAAAAGCAATGAGAGCTGACAATGAAGCCTCAGTATTAGTGCCATATGGAAAGAAAAGTCCTATAATTTATGTTATTGCCACAAAAAGACATGAATAAATGGGAAGCTATTGCAGGGAGGAATTAATGAAACTGAAGAAGTGATTAAAAAATGCAGTCCAATTCCCCAAGGTCAAGTGTTGTTCAGAGAAAAAAAATCACCTGCATAAATATAGAAACAACTGCTGAGCAGCTGCACTGTAGATAAGGATTGGGGATGGAGAGGATCAGAGACTGAGCACAAATTATAAATATCCCGTTGTCACAAACAAAGGCAACTTTATCCATTGACAGGAATACAAATTCCTGATCCTCTCAGTTTTGATGAAGCCTTTGGGGAAGTCCACTTTTGGGAAAGGCTTGCTGGGAATGTGAGAAACCACCCAGAACAACAAGCAAAGGCAGATAGGTCACCAGGTGAGCTCTGAGGGATGGGGAGGTAACTCACTGAGGTGGCTCAGTCTGGACAGAGTGAAACGAAAAGCTAAGAATGAGAAATTATATGTTTCTACTTAATACACAAATGGTTTATTCAAAGAAAGAGGGAAGTCCTGCTCCACATCTACAGTGATCAGGAAAAGTAATGGACTCAAAGTGCAAGAAGAAAAAATTACTTAGGCTGTAAGAAGAACTTTTCTGAATGGTAAACAGTAAAGCAGCAGCCTAAGGAACTTGTTTCCTCTATTAGGAAGGAAACAAAAATCATTTCACAAAAGCTGTCCAGCAATAGTGATATTGCTTTGATGCAAAAGATCAAGATGAAACCTCTTGGAACCTCTGAGGGATCTTCTGTGAAGATATTGAGGCACTGAAAGCTTTACAGCAGCAGCAGAAGCTGAAAAATTCCTCTGATCTTTTGCAGTGCAAAGTCTCACCAAATTTAATCTTTGTGTCCTTGCTACTGTTACACAACCCCTTCGAGGAGTAATATTCAGATTTTCTACCAAAAATCCTACAAAAACTGCTGAAAGCCCATTAAGATAGCAGAACTCAAGTCATGAGACTGCCAGAATAAGGCTCTATATTTAGTACCAACAGTTTTCTCTGTAGTACTGTGATGAAGTTCCTTCAAGAAGAGTGGATCAGCTCTATGTAAATATTCCCAAGGCAAACAAAACCTGCTCAGCATCCTCCCAGACCCATGTCACTCATGAAGCTTTCAGTAGGTTTTGCGTCAGAGGTCACTGCTTTTTTTTACCTCCCTCCCATGAGACTGCTGCTCCCCAGTGCTCACTGCAGACTCCAGAAGAGTCCTCTTGATCTGTGTGAGGTATCACAATGCAGAATTACTCCATTCAGGAGCTGTGTCAGCACTTTAAATAGAGAATATTGGAGTTTAGAATGCTGAACTTGTCAGCAGTGGGGTTTGGGCCTTGCTTTCAAGCACAACATTGGACACTACAGTATGATGGAGAAAGCACCCCGAAAGGGTCACTGCACAGCCCACCTAATATTTTCTGAATTAAATCACAGAACTGATCTTAAGGGACAACCAAAAGTTAAACAGACTTCACCCAAGGGGCACATCAAACTTTGCCATTGTCCTAATAGTCCAGCCCAAACCACCAGCTTTGTATTGCACAGTTTTGTACTTGCCCATCCTGGGAAAAAACGGCACCACATCAGTAAATTCAAGTCATGGCTAAGAGAGGCTGACTGAGAGGCATGTTCAAAAGCACATCAGCTGAAGCATTAACCCTGGGACCCTCCAGAGCTTTGCAGAGTGTTTTATAAGCTCCAGTCCTCTATAAATGTCACAGTCCCCCTTAGGGCCAGACCCTCCATCCTCAAGCCTCCTCTACCCACCACTACCATACAGAGCACTCCCATACCGAGTGCCTTGCCTATTAACTACAAAAAAATCAGATAAATTAGAAGCAACAATGTCGATGAAGCAACTGATGAATTGTCACTGATGAAGCAAGGACAGGGTGGTTCAAGCAACTAATTGCTTTCACAGAGATGGAACCAGGTTCAAATCAAGGGAGAATTCAATTCTTCAGCAAAATACTTCACCTTAATTATAGCTCGTAACAAGAGACAGCCAGAATCTAAATATATGGATGCTCTGCCTCTACAGCATCCACTACTCCTCACAGAATGGGTAAAAATTGACAGCTTTTATATTAAGAAACAAATCCCAAAATGTAGCTCCATCGCACATCTTCCTGCAATCCCACTCAGAGGTGGCTCAGGCACATCCTAAAATTATGTATCTGTAGCTTTCTCTGCATGAAGTATCTCTGCACAACAAAGATCACACAAACATAAAGAAGATGTGTAGAACAAACCCATTTTCAGTCTCCTCAAGTGAAACAATTACTTTTTCTTGTATTACACAGATACCCAGCCACTAACTGAAGAAAACTCTAATAATTTTATAGACAAGAATAAATTCTTTTTCTAGCAGCATCTGCAAAGAAACAAGCAACTATTTTTTACATATTCTTCTAAAGTTAATTCCCCAAAGCTTACAGAGTTTTTATAGAATTAGCTCCTTTTCAGTTCTTCACACAGAGAGATATATGTGGTTTGCTAACATACAAGTTTTACCACTTAATTTTTAATACCTAAAATAAATGTAGTTAAACTAAAAAATTGCATATATGACACAGAATCAAGAGATTATATATTTGTAGGAACGGCAATATCCAAAACAAACCATCAATTTCTGCATTTCTGGAATTCTGCTGGTGTCTCTACTCCAGCTACAACAGCCTGGATTCCTCTGAGAATCTGCATTCTCCAGCCAATCACCAGGGAAATACCATGTAAAAGTACTCCTAAGAATGGAAAATAACATGCTAAGCTGTCCCCTCACAAAATCAATACACCTGAATTAACAGATTCAAATGCTTTCAGACTCCAAGTTACATTGGAAAAATGTAAACACTAATTCCACCTCCATCTGTGCACCCACCCCTCTGGCACTTATCCCTTCCTGTTACTCCCACGGGAGCTGGATCCCATCAGGTCTCTGCAGATTCAGCAGGGAAATGGCTTTGGACACAACATAAAACAAGAAGGTGAACTCAGCTCATCCCTACCTTAGAAAGGCAAGAGTATGTAGAATTTTAGGACAACCACAGAAGTGAGCACATCATCATTTGATATCTCTGAGTTTCTGACTAGTTACTACAATTTGAATACGAACAACTGCTGGTACCTGATCATTGTTCCAGATGCACTGGAAGCCCATGTCCTCTTGGCTCACTGCACATGTGCCTCCTCTTCAAGTCACAGAAATCAAGCTGTCCTCGGAAGCTGCACCATGGGTAGTGTTGAGGACAGTCCAGCACTGAATTCTTCTCTCTGGAAAGAACAAGGAAGCTCAGAATCCTGCTGAAGTGCATTGAAAAAATGCTCCCCAGATCAACCCAACACATCCCTGCAGCGCATCGTGATGTTACGTGGCACATCCGAAGGCAGCAGAGAACATCCAAAATTAAGTATGCACTTTCAAAAAGGAGCTGGGAGTAGAAAAATACCTCAGCATATTTAGTACATCCTTTCTTAGCACAGGCACACACTCTATAATCCTTTTATGGTACAATTTTAATCTAAATTAAGCAAGCAGCTCCAGTAAAAGAGCTCAGAGCTTTCCACGTTACAAAATTACATCAGGATTGGATTAGCCTGTAAAATAACATACTTCAAGGTAATCTATTAATGATATTTTACACTTAATTTTATACTCAAACTCCAAGCTATTTGTTTTCCTAATTATAAGCAAATTTTAGGAAAAGCATGACTTACTTCAGTCCTCCTACGTACATACAAGTCAAAATATCATTATTCCTGTTACTACCAGAACCAAGCAAAGAGACAACAACTACTGAGACTCCCAGTCCTGAGCCCACCGCACTTTTTCCACCCCCCCACCCCCCTCTCCCCCCAAATTTAACAGGCTGCAAGACTTAGCCCAGCTCTACACAAAATTAAAGATAAATCAACACCTTGCAATTACAGAACTTTAATGCAAACACTAAATCGCCTGGTCTTAAAAGAGTTTCTCTCTACCTACACATCTGGTTTTCCTCATATGCTTCAGCCTCCTTCAGACAAGCAAGCTACTACAACACTGAGGAAGAGGGTTAGAAATTCCAGCACAGTGACTTGCCAGAATTAAGAGACTTTAGACAAAAAAAAAATCCACGTGGCACCACCTGCCTCATGTTCTGCACCACCATTCGGTTGCTCTCAAGGCCACTCCCAATGTTTGGGAAGTTCACCACATTCCTAATTTTTTGTTGAAGTAGGAGCAAGGGCCAATTGTATTTGAGAAAAATACTAAGTTTTGTCACCACTGTAATTTCATTTTATATCTCTCCTTATCTTTGCTGGTTTGCCACAAAAACAGGACAGGTAATTCCACATTCCCAACAAGGAAAAGCTTGTGAGGTCTGGGTCAGGCTACATTCAGAGGCTCTGTTTGGGCAACAGGAGGATGATGATATAACAATATTCTTGCACAGGAAAGTACCAATTTGTAGCCTCTGTGGCCCCATACCAGGACTGCATTAACTATTTTAATTACAGAACAATTTCAAAATAAAATCTAGAGTAAACATACATGTATCTTAACAGTTTTATTAGACAAACTGTAGAGTTTATGCTTTATGTATAAAAAATGTAAATATTTGCCTTTGTTCACAAGAAAATTACATGGTTCTACTAAATCAGTTAAAAAAAGCCTCAAAAGCCAGTAATTGTAATTTTTCCCACTATTTTAAGACAGGAAATAGCACATGTAAATACAAGATTTATTTTCTTGCCTAAGAAAGCAAATACTGTAAGCAATACAAGATATGAAACAATAATAAGCTTAAAAGAATTAAAACCACACAAAATAGGGGGGGAAAAAAATTCATTGGAATACCTTATCCTTGTAAACACCAATCATACACATGTATAGGAGGCAGCAGAGAAAACTGGAGAGATGTTCACAAAAAACATGAGACACCAGATGCCCAAAGTTGGCCAAATGCCACTGGAATAAATTACCGCATTTCACATGGAAAAAAAAAAAATGCAGGTTTTAAGGGCAGGTTTAAAACCACCATTTATAACTGGCAGCCAAGGTGGGAATGCTCAGTGCCTAAATGGGAAGGGACTCGTGGGGCTGAAGGACTTTCAGCACCAGAGAGTTCAGCCCTTCCTGCAGTTCCATTTACCACCACCTTTTAGAGCCTTCGATTGGCTTTTAGCACTTGCTTCCCACATCCAACCTGAAAGATTTCATGCCTCTATAATCCAGTCCAGAAGCCAGCATGGTGTGTGGCAGCTTCAAGCTCTTAAGGATGCATAAAAGCACTTACTCACTGTGTAAAAACTGCCAATGTGAACAGGAGAGACCCAAAAGCCAAAGGTGTGCACTACAGAAATCACCCCCACTGGGAACAGGGATACAAACACACCTGCTGATTGAATTTGCTTTTTCTCCTTTAACATAATCATTGTGGACCCAAAGAATTCTTTCAATCTAGTATTTCTCATCCTACCAAAACACCAGCAGAATTCCAAGTATTTGGATTCAAGTGCAAACCCCTGCAGACGGATTTTTGTTTAACAAACTGAACAAACACAACATTATTTGCTTCGAAATTCTTCTACTTGTGGTGAAAGCCGAGCTGTGCTGAAATCAATGGGACTGTTGGCATTGTTTTCCACTGAGCTGGAATTTCATTTCCTGTACCCCACTTCAGATCTGCTAAAAACCACTAGAACAGAGTTTTGACCTTTCACAACAACAACTACAGCTCAAAATAAAGCGTTTTGTGCAAAATAAATACTTACAGGGCAGGTTACGTAAACAGCATGAAAGCGGCAGCTGGGGCTTGTTCCTTCAGAGAGAAAACTTTGCCCCCAGCCTGGCTGCTCTGGATTAATGATGTTCCTGTTCCATACCATGGCTTTGAAGCCTTGGGAAGTCCCTATCCCAACCCAGCAAGGTGGAAAGGTTTGTTATTTTAACTGTTGGCTAATAACAGCTTATCAGCAAGTTTTCAAAGGTTAAGCTCAACACAAATGCATGGCAAAAGTGCAAGAAAAGGACAAGGGAAATGTTGAATTAGTGTTCCCTCTCCTCCTGCCCCTGCAGCAAGGGACAGAACTCTCTCATACCCCACATCCTGCAGCAATGCCAGCAAAGAAATTTGAACCAAAACTCCTGTTTGAACTGAAAACATCTCAGAACACAACAAAAGTGCCTTCTTTCAAAGGAGGAGCTTGCTTTGCCTGCTGCATTCCCACTGGCTGCCACACGGGATGGAAAAGCTCACCAAAATCTTTAAGTTTAGTCCTTAAATACAAGGCAGTTTTATTACTGCTGCCAAATTTATCACTGACACCAAGCTCCATGACAACTCACTGGAAAATAAAAACAAAATAAAATCTTCAATGTAGGGCATGCTATGATTTTTATTTCTATCCCAATCATGTTACTGAACTATAAAGGGCTGATGCAACCTTAAACCAGAAAAAAAAGCCCAGTTACAGACTCATTACTAATTCATCCTGGCTGAAGCTGCATACCAGCAGCTGCTACCTCTCTCAATTAACAGCAAATATTGAACAGTATTGTCATTTAACGGTGTTTACTGCCTGCTGCCCTGTCCACTGCCCGTTTTCAAATGCTCTGGCACATTTAAAGCATCAACACTAATAAACAGAGCTTAGTTTAACCCCTTATGTACCACAGCAGAAGTGTTTTACTCCCTTCCTACATTCATTGGGTGCTTGGCAGAAGCTGAATCCCAAGGATGCAAGGTGCCACCAAAAAGGGATTTGTAATTCAGAGGCCCACAGGGTGCTTGGCTTCCGCAGAAGGCTGAGCACAAGTGTGAAAAATGATGGGAATAACTCCAGCAGAGCAGCCCTTTAGGAATTATTGCCAAAAAGTTGAAACAAAAGACGAGAAAAAGGAGGAGACCACACATTCAGCGTCTGCTGTTGAAAATTTAGAACAATAGAAACACAAAACAAATGGGGTAAAATACTAAAAATAAAGCTATTCTTCAGGGAGAGCATATCAATGCTGTAATTCCTGATGACCCCATCTCTGCACAGCGGAGTCAAAAGAGCCCTAATTTGGACCTCCCTTCCCTCTGCTGTGCCCACAGCTGCCTTTTGGCCAGGCTGGGTTGGAAGTAAATGATTATACAAACCGCGCAGCCAGAGCAAGAAGCTGCAAGTGCAGCACTTCCACGCTGCCACCACAGGCACCTCCGTGCCCTACCTGCTCCATGGTGTCAAGTTTGCTAGAAGCCATTGCTGTATAAGGGACTTTTTCATTTCCATGCTGTGTTCCCAGCACACCAGCAGGAGGGAGCATCTCCAGGCTCTCCTAGGAGCCCACTGCCAGCTGGGCCAGGGCCAACACATGGATACCAAGGACCTGGAGAAGGGAGAGGATGATGGGCCAGCCCAGCTGGACTGCAAGGTGCACACTGGAAATTTAGATACTACAGGAAAAGATCAAGGAGCTTCTGTACTGCATTTATTAGAGCAGAAGCTAGGATAATGCCATTCCAGCTGATCCTGAAATTGGGGAATTCAGTTATTTCTGAGGTACCTGGACCTTTGTTCTACTCCTCCTGCAGAGGAAACAAAGCATGGGAGCCCCAAGGAGTAATGCTCTGAGGGCTTGTCAAATACATGAGGGAATGGCTTGGAAAACTGGGCAGATGAATGTAGGCCCAGGCTCTGGCCAGGGCTCTCTGTGGACATCCTTTCCTCTGGTTAGCATCTGGCTGCAAGTCCCCTCATTTTCTCAGGTCCCTCTGCCTGTATCCTGTGCAACTCCAACAGCCAGCGTGGTTTGCTGGGAGGATTCCTTCCCTCTAGGTTCCCCCAGCACCTTTGAGCCCATGGGGTCCGAGGTGCTCAGATATATCAGGTGATATGACTAATACCTGCCATCTGCTCATTGTTACCTTCCCTCTCCTCTCCTGAAGAGGAGTCAGCACTAAAGTGCTCCTTCTACTCGATCTATTTTAGGAGCGTGGGCTTTCAGCATCCATGCAGCACTGCTTTAAGCTAGCAAACTTAAATCAACCATGCTCTGGAAGGGAAAACTGAGCACTAGGTCCTGTAAAAGTCTCTGGCAAGGCTCAGGAACAATCCTTTTCTTGCAAAAGTTATCTGCACTCCAGCGTGCCCAAGGAACAGAGCCATTGCCCAGGTTTCACTCCAGGCCACAAAGCAGGGGCAGATGAGATGCAGGCCTTGGGAAGCATCCCACTGCTCTCCATGGAGACCAAGCCAGCCACACAGCTTGGAGCATCAACAGGCAACGTGCTGCAGCACTGGGT